CTTTAAATCATTTTTATTATTTAGTAAATATTTTTATTTTATTAACTTTTTATTCCTTATTTCATCGATAAAAAATCGCTTGTTTTGAAATTTTAAAATTTGTGATATGCTTAAGCGAAAAAAATTTTTTGTTTGCTGCCAATAAACTGGCAAATTAAAATATTTTAGAATATTGGTAAAATTATGATATACATTAAATATACATTTATGCTAATAACTCGCTTATGTGAACGTTCAGTTAAATTGGGTACTTAAACGACATGTTAAGTGTTAAACTCCAAATCTGACATAGTTAGTAATAAGTTTTTTGCTTCTCCATTCCGAAGAAGGAACATTAAGAATAATGAAACTCAGTGCCAACTTCACTTCATGTCTTCCCGAAATATTTGAAATGAAAAAAAGAACAAAAATAAAATTTTCAAATTAATGTGTATACATACGAAAATAATGTTATGGAATTCATAAAATTCAAAACGATATTTCCCCATTCTTGTCCATTTTTCAAAATTTATTAATACTTGACAAAAATTGATGTTTGTTTGACGATAGTATTATCGATTTTAAATCCATTGATAGTTTCGATAGTTGAAAGCTATCAATAGTATTGATAGTACCATCGATAGTTCTCCACCTCTAAGTTAAGGTATAATGTTCAAATTTGACATTAATTGTTGTTGCTTTATTTGTTTACATATTTATTTTTGTTTATTTTAGTTATTTTTATTTTTTTAATTTACACGTCAGTCAATTTGATATTTTGGTCATCACTCAAATTTATTAAATATCAATATTTTTAGTTTTTATATACATACACGTTAAAAGAAAAAAAAAGATTTTTTTTTTTATATTTTACATTATTTTTAAGTGTCAAATAATACATTTATACATACATTTAATCAGTGGTCTTTTTTAAAATGTAATTACTTTTTGTGTTTATTAAACTGATAAAATTTATTTGTACAAAAAATTATTAAGGTATTGGATTATAGCTATAGCTGTAATATAATTTAAATGATAATTTACATGCATGAAATATTTATATACGTATTATATAATATATTTACGTATTATATTTAGTAAAATATATATATGGGTCATATATATATATATATATATATATATATATATGTATAATTACGCATACGTAAATCAAATAATTATAAAATAGCAAAAATTGTCAATATTAAAAAAATATATTTTTTGTTTTAAGATAAAAGAAAAAAGTATCATGTGAAATACCTAGTATGTGTCGGAGAAATAATTAGTTTTCTTATAATATTCCTTGGCTGCCGTTTATGAAGTGAAACATTAATTTATTGAACTTTTTTTACGAAGAAATCATCTAAAAAAGTCCTTGAAAATAATACTAAATGTTTTCTCGATTTTATTTTTGAACTTGACAAATAATAAATTTTAAGAAATATATACATTTGTAGGTACCTAAATACCCATATATTGTGTTAAAAGTATATGTACTTATTAGTTATTTATAAAAAAGTAAAAACGAACAAACAAAAAAACAATTTTATGAAATAAAAAATATATGTAAATAGCGAAACCACGTAGTTTATCAGAAATTATATACTTGTATGTATTGCTATTCATGTATAAGGGAAATGTGGTAGATTTTATGAATCCCGTTGACGGGCATTACTATTTCTGTGTTTCTGTATTTCTGTATTTCTTCCTTTTAAATAGAATATTTTGAAACATACTAATGAAAAATTGATTTCTTTTTCAAAATTCAAAAAAAAAAAAAATTTTATTTGGAAATTAATTACAGTAATCAAGTGGATATCAATTTGTAGTTACTTACTTACATTACCCATCTAAAAATAGTCCTATTGAAATATTTATTTATTCCTATATTCAACTGTCTGTCTGCACACATAAATGGCACACATAAATGGTACTGTGTTACAGTTTGGATATATTGTTATTTATTATATGAATACATATGTAAATTTATCAAAATTATCTGAAAAAATTTGCACATGTTTCTGTATGTATATCGGTACATAACATGTTAATTGGCTAACTACGTGGTAGGTGTACCTAACCTCTCATATATGTAACGTATTATAATTATTTAGAATATTTATAATTTTGTTTAATTAAATTTTAAAATGAATTTAAAAGATAAAAAAAAATGTTAAATCCTAATAAAGGATACTATAGAAAAAGGATGTTAAGGTAGGTAATTATGTATGTATTTCAATAGCAAATATTACAAATTGCATATATAATTCCTCCAAATAAAATTTATCTGATACTACCTACTTATATACCAACCAAGAAAAAATACAATATGAAACTAATATGAAAGTAGTATAGACGGCAAGTAACCTAGGACATTAGAATTGCTAAAAATTTTCTTTAACAAACTTATGAAAACTTTATTTTGAATAAACATTTTTAGATAAACTCGTCAATATTTATAATTCATTCGTAATATTGAGGTGGTACACAAATTTAAATATTTCTGTTTAAAAAAATTTAAAATTTCTATTATAAAAATCATAATTATGTAACATACTCGTAAGTGCTTATTTATCAACCTAACTATGAACATTTTTGTTGAAATTTAATAAAATTTGAACTAAATTTTCTGTATTTAAAGTTTTTGTATGTAAGTAAATTTTCGCATTATTTATATTAATATAATATTTTTATCTATTTTTTAAATTACAGATAAATTTTATAATTAAATTTATTAATGTATGCTTTTAGGTATTTTTTCAAAAAAAAAAAAAAAAAGAAAGGATTGTTGAAATACGTGTTTGAGGATTTTCGATAATTCAGTTCTAATATAATTAATAAGACACACTTGGTATATCCAAACTGTAACATCTGCAAAAATAGCCTGTTCGAAAATGACAGATGTGCTTAAAGTTCTAAAGGAAATTTCAAGTTTTTTTATAACTAATGCAAAAATATTATTATAAATTAGAAGAGGAACATAATAGAAAAATATGTGATATTGAAGAAATGCTCGAGTATGTTACAAATCAAAAAGTAAAATATTCTATTTTTGTAGATTTGTAAGTATGCTTGAAAACAGTTTTAAGGCATTCCCAATGCATGTCTGAATTATCGACAATTACCTTTATTATCCTTAAATTATCTATGGATTTTAATTTTTATCCATGAATTATATTATATTATTATGAAATTTCAGTTCATAATTTTATTTTAAATTTCAACTCTTTAATGATAAAGTAATACTTAAGTAATGTTCTTATTATCATTTCAAGAAACAGATTCTGAATACCTACTTTGTGTAATAAATTTTATATATTATAAACTACAATACATAAATTGCATTTACATAGATAATTCACGTAGAACAAAAATTTTTTTAAAAGCAATTGACCCCTTAAACAAAAAATTAAGTTTTTTCTTTCAGCAGCTTTTTTCTTTTAATGATTTGTATGGTTCTTTAATTCTTTTCAAGAGTTTGTGCGTTTATTTATTGTGTCAAATTTTTTATCAACCGTGCGTTATAATGCCATATACTTTTATCTATATATTGTAATTCTATATATAGATATTTTATGCATATGGCATTAGTTAGTAATAAAAAAAAACCAAATTTTTCATTGTGTTAACAATATAATACATATGTCAATACAGATTATAGCAATAACGACAATAATTTCTTTTAGATAAGTTAAGAAATGAGTTGAATAAAAAAGATATCATTTAATAGAAATTAAGAACGATGTAAGTATATGCGAATGCAAAATATTGAACTTCTGTTTTACTTTTTATCGACCGTATTGTGTATACGTAGGTCATGTGATGGCAACAAATTTTGCATATCGAGTTTTCGGTAATAATGGACTTTTCCATGGTAGGGAAGTGTAAATAAACTTTTTTTTAGCAAGCTGTTGGTCTATCGGTCTCTCAGTCTGTCGGTCTGTCGGTCTACATAAAGAAAAAAAATCAACCGAAATATAATATTTCATTGAAATATAATATTTAAAGTTCAGGGCTCCAAAACTGATCTGCGGGCCGATTTTACATTTTTCACCATATTTACGGAGTGAATTGATGGAATTTCTTGAAATTTGATTTTTGAGTTCTGGTTGTTTTCGAAACTAACTAACGAGCATTTCAGGGAATTCGGGTAGCACATAAGCTTACTAATATCCTAAAAATTGGAAATAAGTATTTAACAGACATTTTTATAATATTCTGTAACACTTTCACTTAACTAGACAATGCACATTGCGATCGGTTATGTGCTGATCACATCAGATTTTTTTTTTGTTGCGCTGGTTGTTTTTATTGAGATGAGTTTTGGCTGAAGTTAAGTTATGGAATTTTTTAACATAAAACAACATCATAGGCTTAATGCATGATATATTAGAACCTATTCACCTACTAGATCAAATTGTGTATGAATACGTGTAATTAGTTACATACTTATGAAACAAATTAATTTCGAGGTGAATCTAATTATATTATTTGCTATTTAAGTACTTATATATATATGACAAAAATATACATACTTATGAATGTGCATGAGTATGTATACAGGTGTGTATAAATATAAAAATTCTTATTCATATTTCTTTTTTGAAAAATTAAATTTGTTATCTCAAATATTCTTAGGAAAAATATTGGTTTTTAGATTAATTTTACTTTGTAATTTATAGTTCATAAGAAGAACAATAATTTATTATGCATTCGAAGTAAACCAATTAAGTACATGTATTATATATTTTTGATATAACTCATTTTATTAATAAAAAATAAGAACTCTGTAGACGAACTGTGTAGGATTATTAGTTATGCATTTTGTGTTATGAATAATAGTTTTTAAAGTCAAGAAATTTTTCTATAAATTCTTTATTAATTTTGTCCTAGTTTCATTCTAGTTTTTTTTGTTTTTTCTTTTTTTTTTTTTGGTAAAAAAAATAATTGTTTATAAAAAATCGAAAACGAAACTCAATTGCTTTCTTTCTTTAGTTATGCAAAAAAATAAAAGCAAAAAATCTGATGTACGATTTCATATTATTAACTAATGCCATATATGTACATAATATATCTATATATAAAATCACAATATATAGATATATATGATATTATAACGTACTGTTTATAAAAAATTTGTCAGAACTATGTGTCTACATATTACTTCATTTATGCTACATATTATACTGTAATACATCATACATTAAATGTTGTCTTGATTTCAAAATTGCTGTAGACTTTTTGTGAACGGTAACAACTTCGTAAATTGTTCAGTATAAGAGCTTGATTGCAATTTTGAAATCATGAATCCTTTTAATTCTATATAAGTTATTGCTTAATCATAATAATTTCTTTTGCTTTTTTCTGCAGATCATTTTCTTCCTTTTTTAAAAAAAGTATTATTCAACCAATAAATTTAGTGCATTAACAAAGTAATTTTTTATATTTTATAAATATAAAAATATATATAAAAAAAGAAGTATAAAAAACCAAATAATATAATAATGACTAAAAAATTAACTGCAACGTCACGTTTAAAACAAGATTATCTACGTTTTAAAAAAGATCCTGTACCATATATTTATGCTGAACCATTACCATCTAATATGCTAGAATGGCATTATGTTGTTAAAGGTCCAGAGGATTCACCATATTTTGGTGGATATTATCATGGAACATTATTATTTCCCAGCGAATACCCATTTAAACCGCCATCAATTTATATGTTTACGCCAAATGGAAGGTTCAAAACTAATACAAGACTATGCCTTAGTATATCGGGTAAGATTTTAATTTTATATATATATATATAATATTTTACCACTTATCAACTTGATAAGTGTTAAAATATAGGTGGCTCCAATTCCAAAATGCATTCAGATATTAGTTTAGTTTTTTTTAAAGTTAATTCTTTAAGGTTATTTTACATTTTTTATCAAAACAAGAGTATTATTATTTTAGTAAAACAAGAAAAAATATGTGCATACTTCAATTACATATTATATTTAACTTTTGTATATAATATAACATTAATAACAAATATTAATATTATTATTTTGCCAAATGCTCAAAGAGGGCGAGTTCTTTTTTTTACTTTTGCTTGGTGTCTCAATATTTAAAAGATAAGTATGTACCTTTTCAAAATTGTCTTTGAAAGTGTTTTCGTTCATTTAAGATCGTCCTTTGTTGAAAATGCAATATATTTTGCTAGATTCTTCTGACATGGGCTAATTTTTCATTTAAAAATCACTTAACTTGAATATTCAAGCTGTTTGTTTTTGTAATCATATAAAAATTTCTAACACTGTATTTATGAAAATGTTTTGTGTAAAATACAAATTTAAAAAAAAAATAATTGTATGTATGTATAAACAAAATTAATATTAAAGGGAGTCAAATAAAAAATTTCTGATTGAGGTAATGCTGTATAAAAAGTTTAAGTACGGTATTAATATGATTGTACTACAGTCTCAGAGCTTTCACTACCTTTACATTGTAAAAAAAACTGCTAGAGCTTTTGATACATTTTGGAAAACAGTTTTTACAATTTTAATACATACTTTGAAGTTTGTTTGAAAACTTCAATTTAAACTTCTTTGCAAATGCAAAAACGTTACCACATCATTAAAAACAGAGTATCCGTGACTTCAATAATGCGCTTACGACGTAAATTTTACAAAGTAATCATATTTTAAGCAGTTTAAGTTAAATAGTTTAAGTAAACTATTTCACTCAGAATTTCCCCCTTTTTGGTCCTTTTTCAATTGGAATTTAGCCCATTCTTAATTTTACTGATCTCAACACCAATTCATTCACTAATTTATTAATAAAATAAAATTGAAAAAAAAATTTAAAAATAAAATTTCAAGAATTTATTTTTTAATTTGCAAAATTTAGATTTTCATCCTGACACGTGGAATCCAGCGTGGTCTGTTGCAACCATTTTAACAGGTTTGCTCAGTTTCATGGTAAATTTTTCATTTATATTATTTTGTTTTATATATGCTTTTATATGTTTTTTTTTATATTTAATTTTTTGTTTATTTCAGCTTGAATCTACTCCAACCTTAGGATCAACCGTATCGTCGCCATATGAAAAAAAAGTGTACGCTAGAAAATCATTAACATTCAACTTAAAAAATTCAAATTTTCGTGAACTATTTCCTAATATTGTCGATGAAATAAAAGAATTATTATTATTAGAACAACAAAGGCAAAATAATATCAATAATAATACGAATAACAAAAATAATAATAATAATAATAATTTATATTTAGATAATAATAATCAACAAAATTCAAATAGTAAAAATAACAAAAATGATAATCCAAGAAATAATAATAATAATAATATTAAAAGCAATAATAAAAATATAACAGATATAATACCAATTAATAATTCATTAAACAATATAAATGAAAGCAATAAGGGTGATAATAATTTAAATAATAATATTAATAATAAAATTAATTCTGAATTCTATAATTGGCAATCTGTATGTTCTAATGTAATTATAATACTTAGCTTTGCTATTTTTGCTCTAATTGTAAATTATATTTTGAAAAGTTTAAATCAGGAGTAAATTTTAAAACATGTATAAAAAAAAGAAAAGATTTAGTTTTAATTTGTAAAATTTTTTTCCCTTAAATGAAAATTGTAAGTTACTGAAAAATTACATCTTTTTTTTCATATTGCCTAATTAAATTTGTTCCTTTTTGTTTTATTCTTATTTTTATGTTGTAATTATCGTCATCTAGATATTAACAATTTAATTACAATTTAATTTATGCTCCTCAATTATTAATATTTTTTTAGGCAAAATTTTAAAATAAAATGTTCAAGCTTTTTTATAGTAATATTAATCAAAAAGAGCAAACATTTTTGTAGTAATATTAATCTATTAATTATCAAATTTTTGTATTTATATATACTATATATATATATATATATAATGTAACATGATTACTGATGTAAGATTTTTTGATTAACATTTTATGTTACCCTAACCTGTAAATTCAAAAACATAAAAAAATTTATATGAAATTTAATATCTATGTGATGACATTCCTATAAAATCATAATGTTATTTCAAATATTTTTTATATCTATTATTTCCTATAAAATTATAATATTACTTATAATATGTATGTATCTATCTATATATACATAATTATTTACTTTTAATATTATTTCATATTATAAAAATAAAATAATTACTTTTAATATGTTTCATACTATTGTTTTATATCATGCACATTATAAAATTTTCGTTGAGACAGTGACAAATCATAACCTTTAAAAAGGAAATTTAAATGGAGCGAAAGAAAACTAAGCACATGTAATAAGTATTGGAACTTGTTCTAAAGAGCGAGTCGCTATGTCATAATGATATTTTTCATAAAAAATTGTTACATAATAATAATGTAAACACAATTTAGATTAGTGATTTGTGTCTATAACAAAGATCTTCTTTTAGTTTTGACGATAAATGTCACTATAACTCAAGGATTTATTTTTCAGAATAAGTTCTGATAGGTTTTTGATAAAACAAATTGATTAGGCAATTCGACAATATGCTACGATTCAGGCAACAATTACTAAGAGTCAATCTTTTTTACAACATCAAATAAGTTTCATTATTTGAAGTAGTTCAATGTAGCTTAAAAGGAAAATAAAATTTTGAGCAAACTTTTAAATTCAAGATATCACTGGTACAACGAAAAAATCTTTTCGAAGCTTGACATAATTGGTAAAATATGTAATGTAATATAAATATACATCTTATAAATAAATACTTACAAATTTTAAAAACATAATTCCACTTTATTCTTCAATGCAAATATTCATATATATATAATTATAGATAATTATATATATAATTATAGTTTTGTATAAATACAATATAACATATATATGTATATAATGTACTATACGTACGTATATACTATATACAGAACATACAGTATATGACATCAAATATAACATAATTTGATTGGTTTTGGTAATACGCCTTCAGCATGCCAAAATATATAAAATTATGGAGTTTAAATACAAATTTCATAGAAGTTCAGCAAATGATTTAAAACAATTATTAAAAAAATGAAACAAAATAATGGATAATAAAGTTGTACGTAGTTGAGGTATAGAATATAAAATACCAGTGTATTTATCTATTTAGAAGATTCATTAAAACGGAAAAGGTTTTTCCGATTTAAAAAACTACCACTTTATACTAATTAATATTCCTGATATTTAATTATACCAACTTAATTCGTTGCGAGATTTTTTGTAAATTATTACTTAAAGATGAATAATATCATGTAACACGTCATTTATTCAGATATCTACCTAAAAGCTTCATATCACAAATTTTTTTTTCCTTCTACTCCCTTCGCCATCTGACTCTGTTTTGTGCTAGTTCTTTTATTGGGCCATGTCTTTCGGGCTTCATTTCTTTTTCAACTGATCTGCGCCAAGTTTCTTTACAGATTGGTTACTCTTCTTTTACTATGCGGATTCCATTCAAGGCCAATAAGCTGTGGGTTTTGTGTGGAGATGGGTAAAAATTTTCTCCTGCGGAAAAAAGATTCTAGTAAAAATCTATGTAGATATACAATTTCAGCTTTCTATCTTCAAGTGTGTAGAAGTTTTGTAAACATGTCCACGGATGGACGGACGGACAGAGTGAAACTTATAAGCACCTTTTTCAAAATTTTTTTGGAAAAGTGCTAAAAAGTAATTATCCAAAGGAAAATTTTTAAATTTCTCTATATGTAAAATTTTTCAAGAATCTTAAAAAAACTATCTTAAAAAAACTATCATATTTATACACCTATACATAATCCAATGAGTTGATAGGTGTTGAGAGAGCTGATTACGAGAAGATCGTCATCAAGAAATTAAAAATGTAAAATTTAATTTAAAATAATAAAATAGTGAAAATTTCAAAATTAATTACCAAAATTAGAACATAAGTTTTTTTTTCTTAAAGTGTTAATAAAATTAAATAAATTGAAGAGATATGGTAAATTCTTAAACGTCAAATTTTACAAAATCTGAGTTGTTTGAGTTTACGAATACTATACTGTGTTTTTATTTTCAGTCAAAGTTTAAATTGTTAAACGTTTAAAAAAAGTCAATTAAGCGTCAAAATTGTAGATTTTTTTTTTACATGCACACAGCCTGACGTAGTAATTCAGTAAATAAATTTGATGTATTGAGTGACTATCATTACGTTAAAAATAATATAAAAAATATTTTTTTTGTTAATTTTTAATATGTAAGTATAAAATTATTTTAAATCTAAAAAAGTTTTTTTTTTTGTTTTGACGTTTACGGATGATCAAAATTCAAAGTCAATTACAAGTAAAAAGTTTACTACATTCCTATCCGTAAAAGTTTTATATGTCAGACAGTTTGCAGACTGATTTGGTTAAAAATGAAATTAAATTAATATTAGAGACAGTTAAATTTGGTACATTTTGAAAGGATTTCTATATGAATCGCATTCCAATAATTAAGTAATAAAATAGGAAAAAAAGCATGGAGAAAATTAACAGTAATATGGATTTCCCTTTAAGTAGTGAAATAAAGATATTGAAAAGGTCTAGTAATTCAGATAATATAAAAAGCTCTGATGAAAAAGAAAAAAGTAAAAAGATAAAAAATTCTAAAAATAAAAATAAGGATCAATTAAAAAATTAAAATGCAGAATTAAAACGAAAAATAAATAATTTTAAACCAACAATTTAACAAAAAAAATTGATCAATTTAAATAGAACAATGACAATGTTGATAAAAAAATTCTCATAATGATTGAGAATAAAATTAATGAGAAAAGAGGTTAATAATTATACAAGACAAAAGCAAAATTTATAATTGTAATGGTGAGAAACTAAAGAGAGTAACCATAATAATGAGTAGTGTTCAATGAAGATTTTATAAGATTGAAAAAAACCTTACTTGAAATAAAAATAAAAGACTTTCTTTTTAAAAAAAATAACAGAAATTAAGCAATTACTGAGATTAGATAATATCGATGGTTATACGTATTACATAATAAAGGAAATGTTGAAAGACAAAATGTCGAAATTTCTTACTTACACTCCCAAAAAGGATAACGTTTAGACAATTTGTTAAAGGGTTTAAACATAAAGATGACCCGGCTGCAATACTACGAGAATTTCTCCAAGTTTTATAGATATTTGATGAAATTCAAAAATCTATTATTTTTAAATTAAGTTTAAAAAGTATTCATTGATTTTACTCTTAAATTTTTTAATATCACCTAACTGTTTAATATTTGCCGGTATATCATTGTAGATGGTAAAAGCCTTGTTATATATAGCATCTTGAAAGTTAAATCGAACCTTCGACGACTTCACATGTATTTTACCAGCATTCCTCGTTTTATATGAATGGATTTCACTGTTCAGATAAAACTTTACGTTTGTATTTAGTTTGTTATTACACATTAAATGGACTTGAGTTGCTAGACTGCAATTAATTATAAAATTAATCGGTAGCAACTTGTTGCTCAAATGAATTTCCCGTGTGGCCGTTCTGGCTTTATATCCAAATAAGTTCTTAATCGCTTTATTTTGCGCTGTTTGAATTAATTTAATATTTTTATTGCATACGTTTCCCCAAATATGTATAGGGTACGTTATAGATGAGTGAAACATGCTGAAGTATAAAGATCTTTTTAATCTGTGTGGAACTCTGTCTTTTATCAGCCTAAAAACTCCAGCAACCCTTCTAGCTTTAGTTAATTGTGCATTGATTTGTTGCTGCCAGCTGAGATTTTCGCCAATTATAACGCCTAGATACTTATATATGGTTACCTTTTCTAAGTCTGACCCATTAAAATTTATTCATAAAATATCATTCGCTCTAGGCTTGAACAAAATATATTTTGTTTTAGATGCATTAATAGTGAGTTTATGTTGAACCATCCATTCTTTTATCAGGAATAAATCGCAAATGATAGCATCTTCTATTTCTCGACATGTTTTAGCAATGTAGACAATAGCTAGATCGTCTGCGTATAAGTACGGTTTGCCATTTAGATTTAAATCCAACAGACTACTTATGTACAAGGAAAACAGAGCCGGCCCAAGCGAACTTCCTTGTATAACACCAAAATTGTTTTTCTGACAACTACTCATTACACCATCACATTCTGCGAACTGTTTTCTGTCGCTGAAATAGTTGCGGAACCATTCGTATTCTTTACCCTTTATGCCATGTTCAAATAGTACTCGGAGCAAAATTCTCCTATCTGCGCTATCAAAAGCTTTTTAAACATCAAAGAAGACGGTGGCCACCTTACCACCCCTATCGATCGCAGATTGTACATCACTCACAATATCAAAAAGAGCTGCTTGCGTGTTGGATTTTCTCGTAAACCCGTATTGTTGCCGCTTAACTAAACCTTTGCTGTATAAGTAATTGCTAATTTGGTTGTTAGCGACAGTTTCAATAACTTTGCTAAATACTGATACAAGTGCTATAGGTCTAAAGCAATTTAAATCAGCCATACTACCAGGGTTTTTAAAAACAGGTATTACTTTACTGCATTTCATGGGCTCAGGCATGCTGCCTGCATTAAGGAGTTGTTGATCAAATATGTTATACAGCCAGCTAGCTCTTCTTTACATGCTTTAACCAAGTGTTGCTGAATATTATCTGGCCCTGCCGCACGTGCAATAGATAAGCCATTTATTACTTGTATACACTCTTTTAAATTAATTGTTCTAAATTTGAACTCAAAAGCTACACTACATTTTGGTAAGTATATGGATTTTTCGAATTTCTCAGCCATTTTTTCTCCTACCATTGCGTATAATTCATTAAAGCTATTAAGTTTGGCACATTTTTCATCAGCATTTGCTTCTTTCGGAAAAAAAACTGTTTGTTTTTTGTTTTCTCCACATAACAATTTCTTAATATACTGCCAATTCTTTTTAGGATCATTTTCAGCTTTTGAAAATTGAATTTCGTCATATTGCTTACGTTTCAATATTTTTATATTGGTCGCTTTATTCAACCAGTATTTATACTTGTTTTTAATTATCATAGAATTCTTATTTCCGGTATATTTTTTGTACCAATAATTCTTTTCTTAATTACGTTGGCGCATTCATCATCAATCCAGGGAGAAAAAAATTTTACTCTACTACCTTTACTTTTTTTTAAAACGGTGGCGCTATTAATGGCATTTTGACAAACAGATATAATTTCATTTGCCAGTTGATTGACGTCCATTGCATTAATGACATGTTCACTTATTTCATTCTTAAATTTTTTATAATTAATTCTTTTGTACATAACCACACTTTCACTATTTTGGCTATTTTTTAGGTTCAGATCACACAGCTCAACAACCATTCCTAGATGATCTGACAAGTCATGGTGAAATAAAAAAATCGAGATTTCGGAATTTGGATTTCCTTTAAGTACATGGTCTAGACTCGTAACTTCATTGCTGCAAATACTAAAACCATTCGACTCTACTATAGTAATATAATTTTGTACATTAACATCATTTATGCTTTTTATGTTGAAATTGAAATCACCAATGATAATAGCGTTTTTAGTTTTAAGGCTCTCAAAATGCGAGTCAAGCTTTTCGAAGAATTTGCTTATATGGAGATGAGAAGTTTCAGGTGGTCTATAGACGGTGGTAATGTTGTACTTAACTTATTGTTATTAATAATAAGTTCAATATGAATAAGGCTAATAATATTATCACAGAATATTTCCTTTGTTGTGTATTTTAAACTATTATGTATGAATATTGCAGCACCGCCTCCCCTTCTATTATTTCTACAAGAAAATATCGTAATTTGGGACATTGATATGATTACATTCATAATCCAGTATCCAAGTCTCAGTGACAGCAATTATATGAATAGTATTTTTGAAAGTATTAAGTATGTGAGCTAAATCATCAATTTTATGTTTTAAACTTCTAGCATTGAAGTACAAAACTTTTAGAGAGTCTTTTTTATTGAATATAATATCATTTGTATGAAAAATGTTGGTTTTAATATTGGTATTTGATGGCAAATCGCAAATCATGTTATTGTACATCTAGGTTTTGCTCTTGTAAAACTCGTATAATTTTGATGTTTTCAGATTGTCTAATAAACAATTTGCCATTTCTAACCCAAGTAAATACGATTTTTCCTTCTTTTTTCAACATTCTTGCTTTTTTGTGGAGATATTTATAATATGGTGTCAGTCTTTCATTAATAAATATTATATTTTTCCTAGTTGCTGAAGTGATGTTGTCGTTATTCTCAGTGTTGAAAATATCTGTCGTAATCGTTTTTTTCTTCAAACTTTTCATAAAGTTATTTTTAAATTCAAAATTTCTAAACTTAACAACAATATTATCTGGCTCACCTGATCTTCCAGCTTTCTGTTTTACGGTATGGATTTCTTTGAGTTCTTCAACGTTTAAGATAACACCTATTTCACTTGAAATTGATTTTAATGCGGAAACAGGATCTCGGCTTATTTCATTAGGCACCCCACTTATTTGATATGCTTCATGAATTTTTTTTGTTTAATTTTTTCTATTTCAACTTTGTTTCTACTGATCTCGTCTTTTAGTATTTTATATTCATTTCTGAGGTTAATATTTTCATCTACTAAGGATTCTATGAAGTCTTTGATTTCTCCAATTTCATTTTTATTTCAAATTATAAATAAATTCACTTCCGATATACTTATGTTGATATTTAAATAGAAACAAGTATATGGGAGCATGTTTGATGTTTGAAGGAAGCTTTCAATTCTATATTTTATTTTAAAAGGATAATGAAAATGCTTTTTAAAAACTTAGTTACAATTTTTGAGGCGTTAGTAAAATTTAGTTAATATACCTAAAAATGTAAATTTGGCTCTTACTAGAATTTCGCTTTGCGCCACCTCCATTTTCTGAAAAGTTCACCAGTTAGTTTCGGTAACAACCAGAACTCAAATATCAAAATTCGAGAAATTCCAGTGATCCGTTCAATAGATATGGTAAAAAATGTAAAATCGGCCCGCAGTTCGGTGTCCGAGCCTGATCTTTCCAAAAAATTTATAGATTCATTTTTTAACACTCCGAAATTAAATATTGAATTTCACGGAAGTTTGTTGATTATTTCTCTTTATATACGTAAAAATGTATACAAAGAAAATTTCATCAAAATTGGTTTAACCGAACTTAAGATACACGATTGCACACGCAGACCGACAGACCAACGTCTCTCTAAAAGCAGTTTATTTACGCTTTGCTATTATGGAGAAGTACGTTCCCGCCGGAAACTTGACATCCAAAAGTTGGTGCCATTACATTACCTACCTCGTTGTATACAATGCGGTCGGTAAAACTATAAAAATTACATAATAAAAAAACAAATAAATAAAGCTCGTAAGGCATCGGAAAAGTATTATTTTATACTCTAATATAACCATTAGAGTAAAACCAATTGCATAACGAAGACCAATTTCAATATACGGATGGTACGAGTTGAATCTATGTAATGGAATTTTGTATTTTATATTTGGATAAAAATAAGTAAACAAAGAATGATGATAAAATTCCAACTATATATCATGTTAATAGAAATTCGACAGACAATAGAATTTTGTATGGTCCAAATATAAACTTAAATGAAAATGTAAATTTCGATAGAATTAGGTTCGATACATATCAGAAAATTGGAGATAGGAACGGAAAAACCACCATATAACATATAAGCCACCATATATGCTAGCCATAGTTAAATAGCAAAAGTTTATTGAGACCTGTAATTCGTAATAAAGTAGTTTTAGTTTTTTTTAGTATTATTTTTATATTTAGGTTTTAAGTTTTATTAAAATAATTCAAAGTAAGTTTTGTTTTTTTTTAGAACTTTTCCAAACAAAGGAATATTAAAATAAAAACTTATTTCAAAAGTAATAAATTTGTAATATGATTGATAAATAAAGGAAAAGCAATGTAAAAAAAAAAAATTGGGTCAAACCAACTTTAGCGTTTTTAGAAATTTAGAAAAATTTGTGGTTTCAGAAATATAAGGCGTCAAAAATTCAAATTTTACAAATTTAAAGAAGCGATAACTTGAGAGGGGTTGGAAATGGAAAAATTTTTCTTCTAACGAAATGAACTGTTTATAAGTTCCTAAGAGGTACTAAAATTTCAGGCGCCCACAACCCGGGGTCTAGAAGAAAAACAATATCAAAAATTTGAAAAAAACGGATAATTTGAAAAAACGGATATAACGGTAAATTTTAACAGCCATTTTGTTTTTTTAAAATTCAAGTATAATATGCCGTGATAGACGAACCAAACCACTGCTTTTCTGCGTTCGTAAAATTTGAAAAATGCATATGGTTCTACTACAATAAATAGGAAAAATGGCATTTTTAGGATTTTGTGGTAGTATAACTTTTAGAGGGGGGGAGATAGGTAAAAATTATGTTCTACAAAAATTAGTTTCTAGTAAAGATCTATGTACATATGTATAAAATTTCTGGTTTATATCTTCCAGGGAGCAGAAGTTTTGTAAACAGACGCACGGACAGACTGACTGACGGACGGACGGACGGACCGAGTGAAACTAACAAGCACTTTTTCCAAAATTTTTTATGGAAAAGTGCTAAACATGAAAGAAAGCGCGGTTAGTACTCATCGACAAGGGAAAAGGCGGACAGTTTTCGGCATCGTCTTATAGGCCATTGGCCATATTAGATACGGCAGGAAAATTATTGGAGAAATTAATTAAAGGTAGACTGCCAACAGCAATAGGCCAACAAGGAAGATCTATGCAATTAGAATGGTTTACAGAAGAGGTAAATACAGCTGAGTCTGAAATCAACATCAAAGAAGGATGGTATTGCTCATGGCGTTGGACGTTAATAATGCATTCAATTCGGATAGATGGCCAGATATGATATTGGTACTAAATGAAAGTTCTAACATTCCCGCGTATTTCCTAAGGATAACAGAGGACTATTTGAACGATAGAACACTGAACGAAAAAACACTGAAAAAATTAATTGAAATGGTAAATAGATTTAACGTATTTTCTAGTACTTTTTATGCCACCGAATTCGACAATAAAAAATACAAATTTTAGACTGTTAAAATTGTCGTTGAATTTCGTACGTTGAAGTAATCATTCAATTTAACTGTTTGAACAGTTGTTTAAAATTGACTGTTCAACAATCATTTTAACAGTTGATTTGGCTGAAAAAAAACAACCGATAGGATTGTAAATTTAACGACTCGCTTATTAAAAAGAAATTAGGGACTTCGCTTGTAAGATTAACATTCTTGATTGTTGTATGGCATTAACTGTTCGCTAGTTATTTTGACAACTAAGTCATTAAGGATTATCAAAGTTTGAGCTGTAAAATTAAACGGTGGAATGTTAAAATCTTATCATTTCAACTGTTATTTTAACATCCCCTACATAAAATATATACTACATTCTTGTGTAGCTCAATAGACAACCTCTTGTGAATTAATATTAAATGTCGAAATTATAAAGTTAACATGAAGTTTACTGTTGTTTTCATATTGCATTCTTTGCTCTTAAAATAATAGGCAGGGTTATTATTGGGGTATATGTATATGTTTTCATGAATAAATTGATATATATTCGTATAAACATATTATATGTATATATGTACATATATTCCCGGGAATTTTGAAATTATTTCAATTTATGAACTTATAAATTATTGTTATAATTAAAACGTTAATCTAATTCATATTCATGTAACTAAAATAATCATGTTCAATATATTTTTCATAAATTCGTATAAATGTACATACATTGAAATAATTCCATTTAACAGTTAATGGGATCTTGAAAATATAAATTCTGAAAAAGTAATATAAAATAAGATAAATTATTAATTTTTAAATAAAAATTAAAAAATATATTAAAGAAGTTCTTATTCACAAAGTAATAGCTAGTTGAAAACTACTAAGTTTTTTCAATATTTAATTTAAGTTTTGATATTATATTGTGAGCTTCTGGGGGCAGCAGGTTTTTTCCTGTTGGAATTTTGAATAAAATTTGAAAAAAGTACCAAAAGTTTCTTGCGGGCTTCGGATACTCCAAATTAAATACATTAAATATTTTAAAGCAAGTGTTGAAACACTTTAAAAAATTTCCACATTCATATTTCCTTTTGTCAAAATAAACTACATTCTGCTTAATGTTGAAAATATCATCAGCAATGATTATGACAAAAGGTTGTATTGGCGACGACGATTGAAAAAGAGAATCGAGTTGTACTGGTTCCTTAAAAATTTGTATTACACTTAACTGCGAATCTATGATGGAATATTTTTTGTACTTCCTAGATCTTTCTTCTTTAAACATTTGCGTTGGAAACAAATAATTATGCATCAATTGAATTATAACTGCATTTTTTAAATCTGTTATGATAGAAAAATAAAGCGAATAATATTATTAAAATATTGTACATTAAAAGCAAAAGAATTAAGAATAAAATCGACACCGGTAGCAAAGAAAAATATATATGTATATAACCAATTTAAAATTAGTCTATATTTATAGAAAAGAAAATTTTTATTTACCTGTTGATGAGTCTGATCTTAATAACAATTTTTGAAATAGTTCTTTGGCATTTTTAGTTTTTAGTTCCGTTTCAAAAATTTTAAATATTGAAGTTTCAAACTTTCTCCATTCTTCATAAAAGTCAACATCTGGTATATCAAACTTGTATGAGAAATCTATGTCGATCTAAAAATTATAATAAACGATTTTATAAGCTTCATCATATTATTTGTTATGGTATACCAGCAAGTATCCATCAGGTAATGTATAGCTTGGCCAGTCATGTAAAATTTGGCACACGGTGGAATTCTGAATATGTTTTACAAAATATTGTTTTCTAAATTCTAAGGTCTCTTTCCATAAGTCCAGAATTTTGTCAAATGGACCCTTATTGTGCTTTAACCATTGCATTTCAAAATCTCCGCCTTTTTATATTTTAAGAAAAAATAAAGTAATAATATACTTTCAATTAATCTTTATAACAGTTTTCTATTAAAATATGATTACAATGAAAAGTTTGTTTTATCTTAAACAATAATTTTTTTGTAAAAATATGTATTTATATAATAAATTAAATATAATGTAATAAATTTTGATAATATCGTAAAATCTAACCTGAGAATTCGAAGTTTAATGTTTTTCGTTTTTGATCCAGGGTTTCAAGCATTTGACCATGTTCCCGTTCTAAAATGTTTTGTTGGACTTTGTATTCACACTTAAGGCGGGACAAGTTGGAATACCGATTTAGCAGTATGCCTTTTGCCCGCTTTCCAGGTTGTTTCGAGTAGTAGTAACTCTTGAAAAAAATTAATTGAAATATATAAGACAATAAATTATAATACATTTTGTACATACTTCACTTTCCCCGGGAAAATAATCTGAAATTTGACGCGCTAAATTTTTGAAAATACTGATGTTCATTGCAATATTTCTAGACTTAAAATAATCAACAATACTTTTGACCAGTTCGTTTCTATCACTTGGTAGAAGTAATTTATTTTTGTTGTAATTTTCGTTAATATGATCAAATTTATCCTTAATTATTTCTTTTAAGACCTAAAAAAGATAACAAAGATTTTATCAATATTTTTTGATTTTTGATATTTGAATAAAAAAAAAAATATTTAGCTTACATTAACAATAACAAATATAAACCACATTTCTTATGAAAATTAAAGTTACTTACATAAATATTTTGGTTTTGTATAACACTGCTACATTCCGCTGTAGTAAGACCAGTATTATCGGTGATTCGATTGGTAAAATTAGCTTTCTCTTTCCATTTCTTAAATCCGTGGCAAAAAGAAATATTGCGACCCAAATTGGTAACGGGTACAAGAATATCAATGTGAAATCTGTTCATTTTAGTTAAATTTTCAAGGTCGACATTAAGCTCTGCAAAAAAAGTTATATTTAAAAGTAATAGAAAATTAAACTTTGCTATACCTTTGCATCTCTGTAAAACGTATTTCCAGTTTTCTTCGTCAATTTCTTTCAGTGCTTCTATTAACTTGGTTTCACTATTACCGGAAAAAGCGTTACCTTCGATTTCCAAATTGTTAGTTTCTGTAACAAATTCTGGTCTTGTTAACTCTTCTTCCAAGAGCATATTATTCAAATTTCGGGCTGTTTCAGAAGTTTCTAAATTTTCTTGATGTGGTGAAAAAGTATAAATGTTTTGATTCGTTGAATTATTTTGAATAGTTAAAGTTTGTTCAATATTCGACAGTTCTGCCAATTGATATTCGGACCCTCTTATTATTGTAGTATTCAACAATTCACTTTGGTCATCCATTTTCGTAGCGTTGTTTTGAATTCTATCTTAATTTTGCGTCTAATACAATATTATATTATTCTGATAAATTATATTACTCGTATCTACTCAAAACACTTGTAAACTCAAAAATTGTTGCATAAATTTTACATCATTCAAATAATTTTTGAAAATACAAAACCTTCTAAATAATTAAATTCTTATTAAAAATTTTACTGTATAGATAACATAATTAAAAACCTAATGAATTTTCCTTTTATTTACCTATTGAAAAATATACATAAATATTATTATAATATTTACAATATTAATGTAAGAGATAAGAGAAGGGGTTGCGAAAAAAATTGAACAAGATTGTTTTAAATTAAAAAAAAATTCTTTTTTTGGGGTATATCTCGTCTGCCATCTTTTAAAGAGTAGATGTGAATAGGTGCACTTTCCGCACACTCGATATTTAGAACTTTCGTTACAGATTTTTTTACCCGTACGAACGTATGTTCGAAGGGTATACTAAATTTGTCTTACCGTTTGTAACGTTGAGAAATAACGGTCTCAGATATAGACTCAAGTGTATGTTTTTGATCAGCGTCGAATTCTGAGTTGATTTAGCCTTGTCTGTCCGTCCGTCCGTCCGTCCGTCCCAACGATAACTCAAAAATTAATTGAGCTAAGTTCACCAAATTTTCACAAATGATTTACTGGACATGATCGGGTTCCGGTTCGGGTAGCTGCCATACAACTTCAAAATTTATTTGGCTATATCTCAGAAACTATAAAAGCTGTGGTATTGAAATTTCGCACAAACAAATATATTAGTAGGGCCAATATGTCTGATAAAAGTCCTTGAAATTACTTGACTCCTTCTGGTACCTGCCATACAACTTCAAAAGATATTGGACTATATCTCAGAAACTATAAAAGCTGTAATATTGATATTTTACACAAGCGGATATATTAGTAGGGCCGATGTGCTTGAAAAATATCGTTAAAATATTTTGGCCCTTTCTGGTAGCTGCCATACAACTTCAATAGTAGTTTGACACACACAGTATTTTGAAAAACGCAGTACTGAAATTTTGCATAAATTAATATGGTAATACGGCAACTAAAAGTCATTGTCTGTTCCATAGTCAGTTATAGCTTATTTATTCGCACATAGGATAACCAATTGGTACGGGTATCACAGAGTTGACAAGGTCAACTCTATTTTTTCTCGTTTTTTTCTTAAAATGAAAGATACTAAATTATCGTCGTACTCACAAAGTTTTCATTGCATACTAGATATATTAAAGTGTCTTCAAATACAAAAATTTCGAGAATTTCATACAAATATAAATCTATGTTACTTGAAGTAACAAAATAGCCTTTTTTGTACTCTGTGCCTTTGTAGTCAATGCAACTACATACACAAAAATTATTAAAAGAGGGTGGGTATGTTTTAATGTCGTCATAAAATTGAAATTTTACTACAAATTTCTTTGAAGTATGTAACTCTTTATTACATTCATTTAATAAAATTTTATAAGCAAATTTTAATTGAAATTGTTTGCATAATATTAAGGTAATATTTTTTCTGGAAGATACATTATTAGCATCGACTTTAAAGTTTCGATGCTTGGCTTCAAATCTGAATGAAGAAAAATACTTCGGTGGTCCTGAATTTCGAATTATAGTTGGGTAATGAGTAAGGAAATGATATTTAGGGGTAAGCAGCTTTCCTGATAAATCAATATAAAGTTGGTGATGATTTTTAATCAAATTATCTAAGTAAACAATTTTTTGCTCAGTAAATGATGGAAGTAAAAGTGTGTCGATAATTTTTAAAAGCGAACAAAAATATTTCCAATATTGACTGTTTTTGGGTATTATATGAACAATAATAAAAGGTAATGTGTGAACAAAAGTCCACATTTCTCTAGCATACATTTTAAATTTTCCTTTTTGTAAATGATCTAAAGATATGGGTGGGGACAAATTGCCTACTTCTGTTTCACCGTAACTAAAATTTTGCTTCCATCTATTTAGCTGATCTAAAGTAAAAAGTTTGTCTTCCATAAATTTTAAAAGTACTAGTGACAAATCTGAATGACATATCCCCTCAAACATATCAGTAGATATTATTACTGCGTAATTGGTACACACATGGAAACAAAATATATTATTTAAAATAGATCGCTTTTCTATTCCCGACGTATATGGCTCATTTTTTTCAAGAGCTGCATCATAGTTTTTTTCATTACGTAAAAGTTCTGTTTTCTCAACTGTTAATATTCCTGCTAATTCTTTCGATGCCATACAGAATCTACAGTAGAAATCAGCAGAAAACGATTTATGCATATCTAAAACACTGTCTAAACGTAAATTATCTCCAAGTATCAATCCTAAAATAAATTTAATATTAGCAACATTATTTTCAAAATGGAAATCGATTCCTTCTTGCGCTAAATGATTTATTGCTTCAATCAAATGGTGAAATGAATCATTTCCGTATTTTTTCATATCACTGCTTTTAATAAGACTATCTATGTTGATGTTGGACAAACTAAGAGGATTTGGTAGAGTTGGAAACGAGTAGCATATTCCTGCTACTGACTGACAATGCGAGCCTAATGGGTTGTTGACTTCGAAATCGTCAATGTAAATAAAATACGGCAAAATTATGTCATCAGTTTTATAGAGAGATAGTTTCTGTTTCCAAAGTTTCCCCTTCGCAAAATTGGAATTTTCGTTACTTTTATTATTTATTTTTTGATGCAATATTTTTTCCAGGGTACCATTCATTTCAATTTGCTTTTTAAATTGAAATAGCAAAGGTAATACAACTCCTTTTGACAATTTAATTCCAAAAGTCGAGATACCTAACAGGTAAACTTCACTTACTTGATTATTTATTGTAAATTCTTTAGGGTTTTTAATCAACTCTAAATTTTTTAGTTCTTGAATCAATTTATATTCAGACGAAACAAATGATAATGGCTCTGAAAGCGAATGTAAAAGCTCTATTAATTGAATTGTTTCATCAGATGCAATATCTTTTATTGAGATTATTATTGTATCAATTATAAAATTAATAAGTTTCGATATTAAATCTTGTATATTTAAAACATCTTTTCTTGTTAGATTTCTACGGCTGTGAAGATTTAAAGAAATTTCAATCACCATATTTTCAAATTTCAAAATATAATTGTTTAAATTGATTTTATTGTTTTTAGGTGGACTACTGACACCCTCTAGAATGTTATCAGTTCTGTAAGCAGTTGTATCGGTATTAGACGATTTTGGAATAGTTATTTTATCAAAATTGGTCTCAAATTTATTTAGGAGTGGGTTAATTTGATTATTTTTTTGAAAACATTTTTTAATATTTTTATGTTAAAATATAAAAATATTTGAAGGCGAAAAATATTGATTACATTCTAAACATTTATACTGATCATAAGTTTGAAGGTTGTGTATTTTCTTTAAGTGTGTAAAATATGAGTTAGTATCATGGAAAATTTAAAAACATTGAAAGCACTTCATATTAATTAATAAAAGTTATAAATAGATACTAACTTAAAGCTTAATTTCCTGTAATTTTTGAGTTATGTATTCGTAATGAGTAGAGTTTTTTTTAGAAATCAATCCCTGCAAATAATATAATAATTTTTCCAAAAATTTCAATCTAAACAAAGTGTGCCTTACGTAAGATTTTCTCAATTTTTTCAAATTATAATTTAAATCAATTAAAGCTCCCAGGTTGTTGTTAATGAATAATTGCATTAAATCTTCTTCTTTAGCCCTTAAAAGTTTTGAAATATTCCATTTCAGCTCTGGAAATTGAAATTATATTAGAATTTTTGAAATTAGTTTTTCTAACAGTATACATATGTAAATAATAAAAATAATATTTAGCACATTTTTTCATTAAAAGTTATTTATACCAATTATGTTCTATTAATGTTGAATTTATTTAATTTTTTGAACTTAAAATTTACAATATTTGCTATCCTCAAAATTTAATAAAAAACTTTAACATTGAAAACGATTATATTAACACGTATTGTAACTATGAAATACGCTGTTTGTATTACAAAATTCACCGATTATGTTTAATTTAGAGAAAAAAGATTGGTTTAAAGGAATTAGTTTAAAAGAAAAACAATAAGTTTAATTTCTTTTTTTTAAGTACAATGAAAAACAAAAATTGTTAAATCCACGTTTCTAATTTTGTGAATTATAAATAATATTTAAATGGAGTTATTAACTAAAGCACAGTAGATATAACATTTGTATGTATACATTAAGACCTTGCATTTTATTAAAAAGCTTACCTTTAACTTTCTTAATAACAGCTTCGTCCGTATTCCATAAGTTTAAAAGTTTTATGAGAATGCCGTTTTCATTTATTTTTTTAGTTTTTTGGGTTTTCAGCTTAGGTTTCATAATCCTACACAAAATATTAAAAGCTTTTTATTATTTTTCTTCTTTTTAATTGCTGTCACTTTAAAATAGATTTTTTTTACAACATATGTATTTTAATTTTCTAATTTAAATTTAAAATATTCTAATTGATTTATTTTAATTGCATAAAATCACTTTTTTCCACATAAACACAAAAACGCTCTTTCACTTTCAATATTCTAAAAACGACTAAAACGAAATAACTGAAAAACATGAGCGTGCATGCGTTGGATACTATATTTCTACAATTTAGGTTCGTTAAAACAACATGTCTACTGCAAAAATAATGTACGGACCGTTGTTTTGAATTACATTAGGTAGATAGAAACAACATGTATACTGTAAAAATAGTGTATGAGTCATAAGTTTGAACTACATCAAGTTGATTTATTTTTACAGTCGGAATGTTAAAATAACTATCGTACAGCACAAACAACAGTTGTTGCTAGTTAAATTAACGTACCAGTTTACCGAAAAATTTTATAATTCAACTTAATTTTACAGGGGTATATAAATTAATATTATTACTGTGTTATTTTATAAAAAAAACACAAATTTAATTTTAATATTAATTTATTTTTATTTTTTCTGTATTTAAATTACACTATATAACAGAATAATAAGATGTTATGCTGACTGTTATTACTTTATGATTAACAGACGATTAACTGACGATTAACAATGTTTAAATCTTAGGTGCTAATATTTATAACGTAAATATGCTAAATAAGCATATTTGCCTATTGCAACATTCTTGTGAACATTATTGTGGGAAAATATTTTGGAATGTTTTGTTTGTTACGCGTGGTCACGTGGCAGTGCAACGTGAGTTATGGAATGTTTGCATTTTTGGTGTTAACTCCTCCCTGCTTAAATATGATTGTCCCCAATCATCAGAAATAGGGAATGTCGTTAAATTTAGTGGATTTTGATTTCTTAGTTTCTAGAACATTTTTATGATCCTCGACAATTTCAGATTTAGATTCGAATTCTTGTTTAGGTGGAGTTGTTTGAATAACAATTTTGGAGTTTCTTGAAAAGAGGGTCCTTGCTAATAAAATTAGAACAATTGTGCCTACGGCTATGATAATGACCATGATTGTTATTCGATTGGTAGTGGATTCCATTTTTAAAATATTTAACGACTTTGTATTGTTAATATGGATTTCGTCTAACATCTCTAAAGATAAAACTTTGGTTAATTGTTTCTCTTTTGGCAAGGGTTGTAAAACTGCAGGAAGAGTATGGAAATTGGAAATTTCGAAGGCAGAGAATGATCTTCCTTCTATTATTATTTCAGTGTTATGAAATTTTAACAGAAAAGTACCATTAAGTTCTTGAGAAATAGAATTTATTGAAATGTTCCCTTTAAAGTTATTTAGCAAAATAATTCCCGATGCTATTTCATCTATTGTTTTAATGTGTTGATTATTGCTAATGTTGCAATCAGCTAATAGGCTTTTTAATATTTTTGGTATACAAGTATTATTTGATAAATTTATTAAATTTTTTGCTTTACAAATTGAAAAGTTATTAATATCATTTTTACAGTTTTCTTTAATTGCATAAATATTATTTTCATTTTTGATTATAAAATTATATGGGATTACAATACTTTTATTGTTCCTTTTTATTGGTTTTAACAAAATTTTATCATAGTTTTCCTGATTCGTTACAGGAACATTAATAATGTAAAGGATAGTTGAGCTATTGGTTATAATTTTTATTTCGGAGAAGTTCAATGCTTCTTCCACGGTTGAAAAGGGCAGGTTTTCTTTATTTAAAGTTTTAATTATATTTGCTATTTCATTTCGAGATAATATTAAAGAATTTATTAATCCGAGTTTTGCCCAATGAATGGCATAATTAATGTTACGTAAATCTTCTTTTAAAATTTTAAGTTTATATTTTATACTAAGAATAATTTCATTACCAATATTTGATTCCGAGTTTAATATTTTCCTAATGTCATTATTTATCTGAGTAAGGTTATTTAGTCTTTGGGTCATAATGTTATTTATAACGACTTGTTTGTTATTATTTTCAAGCATATTGTTCATTGTTTCCTTTATTGTTATTAGGTCCTCGTGATCTGGGCTTCCAGCGATCCATTTCCAAGCGCTGCCCAGGAAGTCTAAAGATCTTTTGTTCTGTCGTGGTTTAAGGTTGTCGATTAAATTTTTTATTTGGTCAATTTCGTAGGAAATATAAGGGTGTAAGTAGTGCTGTCTGTCAGTGTCTGTATTGTAAACGTACTCTATTTCGGTTAGTATTTTTTCGTAACTGTCCAGTTCTATGAGATGTATTATTTTGTACGTGCCTGTCTGTATCTTAGCCTTTCCCGTGATGATAGGTACTAATAACGAGTTAGTGAAGTCTAGGAGCTGAATATCTGAGAAGACAGATTGAAAGGTGTACCTGAAATGGATATCGTTAATTAAGTTACTAGTTCCGAATATTTGTTTTATGGATAGTTTTCCCGGATACAGTAGTTACTGTAGTGTTATGATTCTCCTGAACGGTTTCTTTAACGTATCTAGCGCTAAGTTTCGAACCTATTCTTTTATTATGTTTTACATAGATAATTTCACCAGGCCGATAGTGCCTAGGTTGTTTCTTATTTGTATTATGGTATTTTAGGTCTTTAGATTGTTTGTCTCTAAGCCTGTTAATGGTGTTGCGTCGGACTTCTTCGTACTGTTGTGGATTAAGGCATGGGGTACGTCCAAGGAAAAGTTCAATAGGTTTCTTTTGGGTTGTCGAATGTATGGTATAATTGTATTCGTTCACTGCTCTTTCGAGCAATTCTTCGAATGTTCGTCTCGGTCCTTCTGCCTTAAGGCATCTCATAATTTCTGACAAGGTCGAATGAAATCGCTCGACTTGACCGTTGACCTCGCTTTTATAGGACGGCGTTTTGTAAATTTTTATGAATAACTCGTCTTCTAACATAGAAGTAATGGATGCAGAGTTTAGCGATTTTTCGTTGTCAATGACAACTATCTCGGGGACGCAGAAATAAAAAAGTATGTCTTGTAAGGGTCGTTTAATGTGTTCTATCGCACGTGATTGAATTATTTTTGCCTGGGCAAATTTCGTAAACTTGTCGATTGCAGTAAGAACTAAATGTTTTTCTGTCGAAAAAATATCGATGTGTATGATATGACCGGGATAATTTGGGATAGGAGTAGGGAAAAGTTCTTGCTTGTTCGGGTGGCGTTCGTATTTATTTTCTTTACAGATGGAACAACGTTTTATCATATCTTTGATTTTTGCTGACATTCTGGGGAAAAAATATTTGCGAATAATTTGTAACCGATTTTCAGAAGCATTTCGATGTGCTCTCCTATGAACTCTGAAGATCGTTTCAGTCTGTTCTTCTTCAATCTCTATGTCTTCTACTAAAGTGGAGCTAAATCGAACCTTATAACTTCGAAAATGCTGGGGATAGATGTTTTGTATTTTACCCATTATTTCTTCGGGGGCAAGTATTCCGTTAACTGCTTGAGGGCTTAAGTATCCCTTAAGGATTCTTACAAGTTCCCTATCGTTATAAGACGGTTTTATGAGGATATGTCTTCTATATTGAGAGGAGAAAAGTGGTTTGAACTGGTAGGAATCTTCATTTCCGATTTTAAAAATTAGTTGATTTTTGAAAACGTTTATAGGTGTTTCGACGGAAGGGATCAGGTTATGGGGGGAGCTATGAGCACTATGTTCTGTGGTTGTAAGGGAGTTTAATTCTGTTTTGGTCGGTAATCTCGAAAGTGAGTCAGCTACGACATTGGACCTTCCGGGCTTATACTTAAGCTCGTAGTTGTATTCTTCCAATGCCGCTTTCCAGCGCTTCATTTTACTATTGGTGTTTTTGCTACTAAGCGCGTAGGTTAAAGGCTGGCGATCGGTGTAGATTTTTACACATCTTGAACCGTATAAGAAGTTTCTTAGCGAGTTGAGAGCCCAAATAATGGCTAACATCTCCTTTTCATTCGTCGCGTAATTTTCCTCCGTTTTATTGAGCGTACGAGATATAAAAGTGATGGGCCTATTATTTTGCATCAGTACGGCTCCTATAGCATAGTCTGATGCGTCAGTGGTTAACTCGAACGGTTTTTCAAAATCCGGATGTGTCAGTATGACTTCTTTCGATACAAGCGCGTTTTTTAATTTCTCGAAAGCATTTAGGGCGTTTTTGTCAAGATAAATACGCAAATTTTTTGAGGCGTCTTTGGGCACGCGTCCCTCCTCCCCACGTAAAAGGGATGTCAGGGGTTGTTCTAATTTCTCCTTTGACCGTGGTGGTATAGGTCAATCCTCTGTCAGGGTCCGAAAAAAGATTTGGGCATTCGTATATTATCTTGTTTAATTTGTTTTTCTCGCTTTCGTCTAAGTGAGAAGTCCTGATATTGTTGACATTCTCCGTGAGGTGCTCGCGCAGTGGAATCTTTTTGTCTGATTTTATTGTCATGTAGCCTTTGTTAGTATGTATGATGGCCTTGAGTTCCCTCAGACTGTCACTCCCTACGATACCGTTAAAAGTCGTCAAGCTGGGAAGTATGTAGAATTTTAATTTGCCAGTTCCGTCACCGAAAATATTGATGTAGGAATGGCGGGAAATTTGGACGCTTCCTCCTACAGAGTTCGCGAGGAATGGTTTTTCATTGGGAATTGGGTTGCGGACATGTTTAGTTTGGATGTAATTTTTGTTGGATCCGGTGTCTATTAGGAATTTAAGAGTCTCTCCGTTGCCAATTTCATATTCGAAATAAGGCAGCGAAGAGCGTTTCAGTCTAAAAAATATATATCGTCTAATTGTTGTGTCTCATCTTGGTCATAATTCTCATTTACGCATGACGTACCAGGTTAAGGATCTAGATTGTGACTATTTAAGTTGGGGTTGTTAATTAGTTCTATGTCTTCATTTATGATTGAATCATTATGCTGACTCAGTCCTCCGTG